CGCAGGGGAGAGATCAAAACAAAACAACGGTCATGAATTAGAAGTACAAAACGAGGATTTGTAAAGAAGAATGTCGGAGGATTTCGATATAAGCCAAGAGGAGACTGGTTTTCCTTTGCTAAAGTAAGGAAACTTTGCTTCCTTTGCTCCTGTTAACAAACGTTGGTTTTCACGAGACTCACCGGCACACGTGCAATGCTGACATCATACATCATCCTCCCAGAACTGCTTCCAGTGTACAACATTGAGCGCAAGCTACATTAAAGTGATTATTACGGTTTGAATATGGATATTTTTCTTACAAAAACGCATCGATTCGCTACAGAAGGCTTTTGTTCACCCCCCGGAGCCGTGTGAGACACTTCTTTTATGGATGGGTGCTTTTTATTTAACTTGTTTTGGACTGAAGCATGCAACACCCGCTGAGTGCCATGAAACAGCTTGAAAGATCAAAGACAATTTTTAATATAACTCCAACTGGATTCGTCTGAAAGAAGAAAGTCATATACGCCTAGGATGACTTGAGGGTGAGTAATTTATGGACTAATTTTCATTTTTGGGTGAACTAACCCTTTAATGTGTGTAATTTTATTATTTGTATTTTTGAAGCTATTAGTTGTTAGCATTGTTTCATTTTTTTAATTGTTGACATTTTTAAGCCATACATTTATAATTATACTATTTTATAAATAAATATTTGAAGTATTTAAACAAAAGTCAGCATCTTGGACATTGAGAGCCAAAATGCATAAAATGCTAAATGCATGAAAAAAAATACTTGCATATATATATATATATACTGATATACACAAAAAATTGCAATGCATATCAAAGCGCCAGCTAAATATAATACAGCGTAATATATTATCAGGAAGTCTATAGCAATTCCAAGCACTTTTAAACATGCTACACATGTAAAAATGATGTATCAGTGAGTTGTACGAGTTTTGAAACACTCAAAAAGTCCTGGAGCTCCTGTGGCATTTATCTGAAATAGCATGTCATGCTTTTGGGAGAGATGCATTTGGTAACATAGAAAGATAAAAGGTGTTTTATGTTGAGCTCCAGGCCTTGTGTACTGTAACCCATGGAGTTTCTCCGAGTTTACAAGTCCTCTCAGCGCAGGGGGAGATGTATTTCAAGCCCAAAGCACAGTGTAGTCTTGCTTTCATCTGTCATAAACTGTTTCATTTAACTGACAATGCAGTTGTTGCACTGTATGTGTGGTCAGGAAGGTAATGTATGTTGTCAAATTGTGGTTCAGATCTCAAGTATAATTCAATAGGTCGACGCTCCTCAAAAGTTTGACTTTGTTCTTTGTTTTTCTTTTCCTCCTAATGTTGTTTTAACCTCTCCTATCTTTTTCTTCCTAACCACTCACCTTTTGCTTCCCTTTCTGTCTCTCTCTCTCTCTCTCTTTCCCTGTCATGTTTGGCTGTGTTCTGTGTGTGTGTGTGTGTGTGTGTGTGTGTGTGTGTGTGGTGTGTTCTGGCCGTGCTGTCTGTCAGTAATGAGGCGTGTGGTTGTGTGTGGGCAGTGATGTGGTTTCTCTTCTGTAACGCGCTGAGGTGTGGAGCATCATGTTGAGGTGGATGTGGGCGGCTTGCAAAATACTCACTCTCGCGCTGTTCCCGTCACCCAGTCCCTTAATGCTGTCCCGTGTTTCTGTCTCACCGTGTCTTTCCCTGTCTCGGTCTCTATTCTTGCTCTATTTCTCTCCTTCTTTTTTATTTTATTTTATTTTGCATTGTGAGCTTTAAGTGTGCTTACATATTTTATTTTGCATTGTGCGTTAAGTATGTTTACATTTCTTATAATGTTGTGATGGTTAAATTCACACTATTTTATTTATTTTATTTTATTTTATTTTTATTCTTTTGCTTTCTTGGTTTTTTGTTTTGCATTGTCTATTAAGTGTATTTTTATATTTTATATGATTTGTTTATTCTATATAATTTATTTTATTTAATTTTATTATTTTATTTTGCATTGTGAGCTTTAAGTGTGTTTACATGTTTCGTTTTGTGTCCATTAAGTGTATCTTTACATTTCTTATGTTGTGATGCCTAAATTCATTCAATTTTATTTTGTTTTTTTATTTTATTATTTTGCATTGTGTGCATCAAGAGTATGTTTACATGTTATTTCAAACCATTGTGTTCCAAAAGAGCCAAGAAAATCCCACTTGATATGTTCCCTATGGATTTCAGACAGTTTTTTTTTTCATAGCCTATTTTCAGTTCAGTGTTATTTGCTTTGTAACCATTCACACGCACACACACACACCCACACACACACACACATACACACTCACACACCTTCACACAGCGCTGTTTCTCCCAGCATGCTCAAAGACACACTAAGGTTAATCTGCAGTCAGGATGGATACTGTGGTGATGAGAGTTGAAAAAAAGAGCTGCTAGGTTCAATCTGTGTGTCAGTATTCCTAAAGTCTCTGAAGTAAATGCAAATGAGCTGCTGCTCCCCGCCCCTTTTTTCCAGAATAAGGCTGTAAAGGCACAGCCTTATTCTGGAAAAAAGGGGCGGGGAGCAGCAGCTCATTTTAATACAAAAAAAACAGAAAACAAGAATTCAACTTGATTTTACGTTTTTCAGTCAGGGGTGGAAAAATGAATAAACAGCTTGAATAATCGATTTCTACACGTGGGCGGGAATGAAATGCCCCTTTCTGCTGATTGCTCAGCCGAACATCAAACCGGGCCGTCATCAGTTCTTCCTCAGTTTCTCGCGGCAGATTAAGGACCCGATCAGACAGAACACATTTTTCAGGTTTGAAAATGCAAGGTGCGCCACACTGCCTTTTTTTTGTTGACTTTTTTTGGTTTTGACTTGTGCTGCGTTTTTTTTAATGTTGCTAGGCAACCACCCAATCAGCTGTCCTGTCATTGCAGTCTCTGGACATTTCCAAGCAACTGTAAGCTTCCGTAACCACAACGGAACACAAAACGCTCACTGTCAATAGAAAATAATTTTTAAAAAGGCACCTCTCACTGCAAAACATGCATTATGTCTGATCGGGGCCTAATGAATCCGTGTATCATTCGATCATTCGTTTTTTTATTTAATATTGAAAGTAGAAAAATGAGAAAACGGCTCCTTTTTCGTGTTTTTGTTTTTTTCCGAAAAACGAAAAACGTGAATTCAGCTTAAATTTTCGTTTTTCGTTCTTGGGTGGAAAAATGATTAAACAGCTTGAATATTCGATTTCTACACATGGGCGGGAATTAAACGCCCCTTTCTGCTGATTGGTCAGCCGAAGATCAAACCGTGCCTTCTTCAGTTCTTCCGCAGTATCAAGCAGCAGAATAATAGTCCTCCACTGCTGCAGTTGTACTGATTAATAACCCATTTTATTGCAACTACAGTTCATATTTTTCTAAACAGACTTACTGTGTGAGCAGGGTAGGCTAAGACAGCTGTCATATCATACCCTGCCATGCCCAGCTGATGCAAAGAATAGAATTTATGTAGACACAGAAGAAAGTCCTGCCTAGACTCTGCCCAGGTATGAGTTGTGTTGAGCTATTCATTAACCTGTTTGTTTGATGAAAAAAAGACTAAATGTAGTTGCAATAAATGCATTAAGAATCCATACAACTGCAGCAGCAGAGGACTATTATTCTGCTGCGTGATACTGGAAGGCAGGTTTGATCTTC